ACTAGGCAACACCTATTTAATAGGCAGTATACAGAGTGATTTCCTCATAGGTGTGGCTTTTGTGTGCTACACTGGTTGTTCTTGCTCCATTGATATATTTTATATTATCGGTTTGGGACAAATGTGAAAAGATACTCTTGTGTAGAGTAAGGGTCAATATTTTTCTTGAATGTCTAAATATGCAACTCTGGGATAAGCAAATATATTCTAAAGACAAGAAGAATGTATTCTTACTTGAAATGTTGGTGTGTTTTGTATATTCCTTCCACATGTATGCAGTAATCCAGTTTGAAACGTTTCCTTTGTGCAGATGCTTCCTATAATAAAGACCAGTCATCGCTGCTGTTTTTCCTTTAGCAGAGTGACTGGTCTTGTATCCACCCCCTAATGTAGTTTTCTGAAGACAATCTGTAGTGGGTGGAGCCTGCTGGGTCCCTCCCACAGCTTTGCTCTCTGCACAGGCTATGTAGAGCACAGTGATACTTTCACTTCTACTTTTACAAGGTATTAATTGGGTATGCAAAGTCATTTGGTGCAAATAATGTGGGTTTGTATTTTCTGTGGCTATTGGGGAATTTAATTAAAAAATGGGCCTGCAGTTCTCCTTAAAACATCCTTCCTATGTAATTACCAATTATGTTTATACATTCAGTCTCTGGTGAGGTTACAGGCAGCACTTATGCCAGTGGCTGATCCCAGCTAAACTTACCTTATGGCCTGGGAGCGTAATGCCCATGGCTGTCAGATGATCTGTATTGCTCCTTCTGAGGGCAACATGTCCGTTAAATAAACTAATTAGGCCTAAACAGCTTTTCATGCCAAAACATATTCATTATTGTGGGTTGTGATTTTCTATTGAAAATGCAGTGTAAAATAGTTTGTTTTTCCGATGATAAACCATAGAAAATATTTGAGGCTCAGCGGTCATCAGGAAATAATTTATGTCTTTCATTCTAGATTATAGTTGCTGCTGAAAAAGTTTGACCTTGAGCCAGCTGTACTATATCATCCTTTTTGGGTGTTAGGCTCAGTTTTTGCCATCTAGTAATGTTCTCTGGCTATTTCAGTTAATTGTTAAAAAGCAGTAATAAAGAAAGAATAATTGCCTGTAAGGTGATTTTGGATCCCTGGTTCAGCTTCAATGTTGTTTAAATTATTTTATGTGTCAAATTTCAGATAAAACTTTGTTATCGGCAACCATTGTAGCTATACTGTTTGCAGCCTATGTTCTGCTTATATGGTTTGTGGCTGCTGACTTAACTTCTCGTATAGAGGAAAATGTAGGCAAACACTTTCATGAGATTCCTTACTGGGTAATAGAAATGTGCACAAGGCAGTATGGGGTAAAGAAGCTTTGACTGTACAAAGAAGTGGAACAGAATGGCCCAAGGTTCTGCCATACCAGCATGGAATGCTGAGCTTTACTAATCAGTGATGCTTCAGTGATGGCCCAGTTGACATGATCTGAACATCTTATACAAATTGAACATGGATTACTATAGTGTAAATTGAGACACAGTTAACCTGTGTTTCCAACCATGTCAGGAAAAAAAAAAAGCCCTCTATTTCTGCAAAATTCTCCTACAAATGATTTTATGTTTGAAATGTACCTTCATTTCACCTTATCTCACCTCTGATCACTCTAGTAAATAAAGCCTATTGTCTCTTTGAACTGTATCAGGCATGTCTGACTGGGAGGAAGCCAAAAAACCTGGAACTTGGATAGAAACATCCTCTCGTCATAGATCCTTTATTCACCAACATCCATGTTAAACTGATGTAGCAACTTGTGAGCTTACTGTCAAGTTTGAACACTACCCAATGCTAATAAAAATTGTTTTCTGTGTCTGGCTTCCCCCTTAAAGCAGAACTAAACCCACTGATTTAACAGTTTAAAAAAAAAAGTTAAATTCCTGGCATGCGGGGATTGCTAACTGTCACATTTGCTTGTGCTCACAACCAGACTGATAAACCATTAAATAGCTGGTATCATAACTGGTTACATGTGCAGCACCATGGCAGTTACAGAGGCTAAGATGACAGCTTCCTTGGCTGAGAGGGGTTGGGAGGATTTAGTTCTGCTTTAAAGGGTAAGCTCACCTTTATAAAAAAAATTGCCGATTAACATAATGGATAGATTAAATAAAACTGTGCAGTTTTGACTAAAGTTGGATAATGAACTTGCTATAGGTGTAGGCCTTTTTCTTACCTCCGTAATCCTGACTGAAAAGTCCCTAGAGATGGTATCATCTCATCCTGCCTTGTTGCCATGATGTTGCTAAGGCACTCTGTCAAGGATGCAAGCCCATATCGACTAGCTAACCAAGGTGGGGACCTTGACTGGGATAGGAGGGAATGAAGGGGAGCTTATTTTGAGCAAGTAAGTCTGGTTGTGATACACTTTTCACTGCCCACACTACATCTTGCCACTGCTAGAGAGAGACTCCAATCCAATCTAGCTGGCTGACCCAACACAGGCAGATACAAATGTACATACAATCTGGTGCACTCTAGGGGTTGGGGAGCAGTCTGGCAATTATCACACACTTCCAGGATTCCTCAAGCTATCCCATGAGCTAGAAACCTTGTGTTAATCTCTCTTCTCACTGTCCACACACACACCAGACAGACACAACAAACAGTAGTTTGCCACCACCTAGAAGTTTGACCTCTGACTGGTCTGTTTGGCAACCATACACACACAGTTCTCCATCTGGCAGATCTACTAGTTTATGATCTGCATGCAATCTGCAACACATAGTACAATCGTTTACAGCAGCAGGGAACTTAGACTGACCACATAGAAACTACAATGCAACAGGGGCGGACTGACAACTCATGGGGCCCCCGGGCAATAGGGGATCATGGGGCCCCTGTGTCCTTGCCCACACTCAAAAAAGCCTAAGAAAAAGGTACCAGGGGCATCTCATGGGGCCCCCTACTGACCCCGGGCCCTCGGGCCAGTGCCCGAGTTTCCAAATGGTCAGTCCACCCCCTGCAATGCAACAATCGTTCTAGGGATATGAGTCTTAGCTTAATACACTGAAGCCACTTTCTAATTTTATAATTTAATGTCCCGAAAGTGGGCAGTGCATAAAATATGTACACAGAAAAAGAATTGCAAACAATACGAAAAAAAGACAAAAAAGGATATACAATGTTTGGCTATTTGATATGAAAATAAAAGGGATAAAACACAGAAATAGACTTACTTTGTGACATGAGTATGTCAGAAATGTACGCAATTCACACTGGCTCCACGTCACTCCCATCCTTAACTGTTCCTGTTCCTCATTTTATTGAGTTATGGATCTGGGCTGGTCTTTATCCCTTGGCCAATTAACACTGGGGGGTTGTTCCTGTGACTTGGACTCACGGTGAGTCAGAATCATCCAGGACTTTCTGCAGCTTCGGAGTCTTGGAAGGTTTAACAGCACTTCCAGACTAGGTCACTCTCCAGCAGGAAAAGGACCCTGTTACTCTTTTTGCAGCACCCTATATACCCCTATCAGCCCCTGCTGATCACTTTCCCAACCAGGGATTGGCTGAGGCTGTATACAGGGTCAGCCAAGACTCTAACCTCTCCAACCACTATGTTCCAATGCCTTCTGGAAACACACGGGAAAACATGCAAACCTGCAGCTGCAAAGCCCAGAGTAGACAAAAATAATCAACTGGCTCCACTGGCTACAGCAGAGCCCAAAACAACTAGATTTACCTATTAACTACCTATACTAGCACCTAACTAGGGGATGCTACATTCACCCCCTGCCAAAAATAGGCCCTGTCCTCATGGTCCCAAGAATATGGTATCGCAAAGCTAAATTCTGCCATTTCCCTCCTAGAAAATTACTCAGAACCCTCAAACATTATTTATATTTTTAAGCAGAGTCCCTAGAGAATAAAGTGGTGGGTGTTGCAAATTTTTATGTCACACAGTATTTACACAGCGATTTTTTTAAACATTTATTTAAAAAACACACTTTAATTTTAATGCAAAAAAACACAATATATAACCCAATTGTTTGGTAAAATGTAAAAGATGATGATGTTATGTCAAGTAAATAGATACCTAACATGTCACGCTTTAAAATTGCACATTTGGACACCTGCCTTTACATGCACATGAACTTAAATGACATCCCAGTCTTAGTCCGTAGGTTTCAATATTGAGTTAGCCCACCCTTTGCAGCTTTAACAGCTTCAACACTTCTGGGAAGGATGTCCACAAGGTTTAGGTGTGTCTATGGGAATGTTTGACCATTCTTCCAGAAGCGCATTTGTGAGGTTAGGCACCAATGTCAGATGAGAAGGCCTGGCTCGCAGTCTCCACTCTAATTCATTCCAAAGGTGTTCTATCGGGTTGAGGTCAGGACTCTGTGCAGGTCAGTCAAGTTCCTCCACCCCAAACTCATCCATGTCTTTATGGACCTTGCTGTGTGCACGGTGCGCAGTCATTTTGAAACAGGAAGGGGACATCCTTAAATTGTTCCCATAAAGTTGGGAGCATGACATTTTCTAAAATGTCTTGGTATGCTGACGCCTTAAGAATTCCCTTCACTGGAACTAGGGGGCCAAGCAAAACCCCTGAAAAACAACCCCACACCATAATCCCCCCTCCACCAAAATTTAAATTTGGCACAATGCAGTCAGGCAAGTACCGTTCTCCTGGCAACCGCCAAATCCAGACATGTCCATCAGATTGCCAGGACAGGGAAGCGTGATTTGTCACTCCAGAGAACATGTCTCCACTCTGTTCTAGAGTACATCCAGTGGCAGCGTGCTTTACACCACTGCATGTGACGCTTTGCATTGCACTTGATGATTTAAGGCTTGAATGCAGTTGCTCAGCATGGAAACCAATTCCATTAAGCTCTCAATGCACTGTTTTGTGCAAATCTGAAGACTACACAAAGTTTGGAAGTCTTTAGCTATTTGACTCTGAAGACAGTTGGCAACTTCTATGCACTGTGCGCTTCAGCATACGCTGACCCCACTATGTCATTTTATGTGGCCTACCACTTTGTGGCTGAGTTGCTGTCGTTCCCAATGCTCCACTTTGTTATAATACCCACTAACAGTTGACCATAGAATATTTAGTAGCAAGGAAATTTCATGGATTAACTTATTGCACAGGTGGCAACCTATCACGGTACCACGCTTGAATTCACTGAGCTCCTGAGAGCGACCCATTCTTTCACAAATGTTTGTAGAAGCAGTCTGTATGCCTAAGGTGCTTGATTTTGTACACATGTGGCCATAGAGGTGATTGGAACATCTGAATGCAATGATTTGGAGGGTTATCCCAATACGTATGGAAATATGGTGTATATACACTCACCAGCCACTTTATTAGGTACACCTTGCTACTGCCAAGAAAATATCCTCCACACCATTGCACCACCTCCACCAGCTTGATCGTTGATATAAGGCAGGGTGGATCCATGCTTTCATGTTGTTTATGCCAAATTCTGACCCAACCATCTGAATGTCACAATCAGTCTGCCCATTCTCCTCTGACCTCTGACATTAACAAGGCATTTTTGTCCACACATTGCCTCTCACTGGATATTTTCTCTTTCTTGGATTTCTCTTTAAACCCTAGAGATGGTTGTGCATGAAAATCCCAGTAGATCAGCAGTCTTTGAAATACTCAGACCAGACAAAAAACCATAATCAAATGCACTTTTTTTATATAAACAGGATAAGTTCACCTTTTGGACAAAAATAATAAATGCAGGTAAAAAAATTGCATTTATTATTTTCGTCTAAAGGAGCCTGGAAAGCATTGCACCAGCGATCAGTAGATCGCTGATGCCATGCAGGTCTCCTGCAGACCTATCAGAATATCTGCTTGCCGTACAGGATGTAACAGGATGAAAACTACAAGCCCACAGCCACTAAGGCTGCCGGGACTTTCAGTTCATTCATTCACAGAAGTCTGTGAATGAATGACGTCGCCATGTGGGCGGAGCCCCACAGTGTTTTCAAATCTGACAGATAGTACGGGGAGACTTCTGGTGCAGCTGCGGATATGGAAACATGTTATATGTTCCACCCTAAAAATGGGGGAACATGTAACATGTTTCAAAGGTCAACTTATCCTTTAAACAAATGCGCAATTCTAGCGAACAATAAAGATTAAGGCATCTTCATCATTATCAACAACAAAGTACTTCAGCTGAGGTATTATCTTCTTCCATACCTATGGAAGAAACTGGATAGACCAGGGGTCTAAAGTCTTTACAAACACAGGCCAGATTACTATCTTTTATATTTTAAGGGGGCCGAATTGTGGCCAGTGGGGGGTAGAAAATGTCCCAGTGTTCAGTTGCATAGTGTCTGTAGTTAGTAGGATGAGGAATAGTGCCCAATCTTTGGTGCCAGTGGATAGAATAGTACCACATCACTGGTGTCAGCAGATGAAATTGTGCCCCATCACTGGTGTCAGCAAATGGAATAATGCCCCATCACTGGTGTCAAAAGATGGAATAGTGTCCCATCACTGGTGACAGTGGGATGGAATAGTGCCCCATCACTGGTGACAGTGGATAAAATAGTGACCCCCCATCACTGGTGACAGTGGATGGAATAGTGCCCCATCACTGTTGTCAGTGGATGGAATAGTGCCCCATCACTGTCAGTGTCCCATCACTGTGTCAGTGGATGGAAAAGTGCCCTTCACTTGTGCCAGTGGATGGAGTAGTGCTCCATTACTGGTGTCAGTGGATGGAATAGTGCACCGTCATTGGTGTCAGTAGATGTAAAAGTGTCCTTCACTGGTGCCAACGGATGGAATAGTGTCCCATTACTGGTGTAAGTGAATGAAATAGTGCTCCATCACTGGTGTCAGCAGATAGCATAGTGCCCGATCACTGGTGTCAGTGGATGGAATAATGCCCATCACTGGTGTCAGTGGATGGAATAATGCCCCATCACTGGTGACAGTGGATGAAATAGTGCCCCATCACTGGTGACAGTGGGAGGAATAGTGCCCCATCGTTTGTGTCAGTGGAAGTAGTAGTGCCCTATTATTGGTGTCAGTGGATGGAATAGTGCCCCATCATTGCCATCAGTGGGAGGAATAGTGCCCTATTATTGGTGTCAGTGGATGGAATAGTACCCCTCCTTTGGTGTCAGTGGATGGACTAGTTCCCATCATTAATATTAGTAGGAGGAATAGTGCACCATCACTGGTGTCAGTTGGGGGAATTGTGCGTCACTGTTGCTGTCAATGTTAGGAATAGTGCCTCAAATCAGTGGGAGCAATGGTGCTGCAAGGGCCGGATAAAAGCTAGCAAAGGGACACAATTTGAAGACCACTGGGTTAGAGAACATATCCTACTGCATACAGTACATTATTCTGGAGCATCACCTTCGGAGAGATGATCCTCCAGCAGGTGAAAATACTAGAGCAACCATGAACATATTTAGCAAGTGTTGCCCCGTAGGGGCTAAAATCTCTTGCCTCTTTGTCATTTTCCAGATTCCTGAAACAGAAAAAAAGAGAACATTTATCTATACCTATCGATCCTAACATTAACCATTTCAATACCGGGCAATTTTACACCTTCTTGCCCAGGCCATTTTTCAGGTTTCAGCGCTCCACACTTTGAATGACAATTGCGCAGTCATACAACATTGTACCCAAACTAAAATGTTATCATTTTCTTCACACAACTAGAGCTTTCTTTTGGTGGTATTTAATCACCGCTGGGGTTTTTATTTTCTTGCTAAATTAACAAAAAAAGACCAAAAATTTTGAAAAAAAAAACACGTTTTTCTTTGTTTCTGTTATAAAAGTTTACAAATAAATAATTGTTCTTCATAAATTTAGGCCGAGATGTATTCTGCTACATGTCTTTGGTGAAAATAACCCAAATTAGGATGTATTATTTAGTTTGTAGGAAATTTAAGAGTTCACAAACTATGGTATAGATCTGAAAATTGATCAATCCTGAAGTACTGACAGCCAATCTAATTTCTTGAGGTCCAAGAATGTCAGAACAGTACAGATAACCCAAATGACCCCTTTTTGCAGAGTAGACTGTCCGACGTACTTCATAAGAGGCATGGCAAGTTTTTTGAAGTTGTATTTTTTTTGTCATAATTTTTCGGAAAATTAAAAAATTGAAAATATTATTTTCACAAGTTTTTTTTTTACATACTGTCATCAGTGCAGTACACCGTCATCATATAACTGGCATGGCGGTGAACAGGGACACTGACTGGTGACAGTATGAAAAAAAATATATATATTTTTTTTTTATTATTATTTTTAATTCCATATTACATTTTTTTTTAATTTTTTTTAAGATTTTTTTTTCATATTTTACTATGACCAAAATAATCAGTATATATATATTTTTTTTTTTTTTTACACAATTTGCTTATAGCAAAGAATTACTTTGCTATAAGCAAGCATTTACCTGAATGAAATCGATTCATTTAGGGTTTTTTTTTTTTTTTTTGTGTGCTTAGCTGTGATTTGGCCACAGCTAATCACATGACATGTGCATGTGACCTGCTGTGACCATTCACAGCTAGGCACTAGTATACAATGGATGGCATGAATGAAGCCATCCATTGTATACAACTGTCATGTGACCTGCTGTGATTGGTCACAGCAGGTCACATGGTACGCAACGGGGGCCGGTACTCAAATCTGTCATCGGCCGTGTCCGAGGTACACGGCCGGTGACAGATCGCGCCGCTGCGCGGCTCTGCAACTGCGCGAACTGCGCATTGTGCGGGAGCACGCCAAATGGCGTGCACCCGGAAAGCTGATGGATTTTTTTGCCGCCGCCAAACGGCTATAGACCGGGCGGCTAATGGTTAATCTCAACAACTGTTTGAATTTCCCAATGAGGGAATTATAAAAACAAAAAGTCCTTATAAAAGAAAAATTTCTAAGCCTGGCTCTGTAGCCCAAATCCAATAGAACCCAGAAAGGGTCTAAAGAACACATTCATGTCCACTGCATCAGAAGAAAAGGGATCATAACGAAAGCACACAAAGATCTCCCTTCAGCTGTCTGGATAATGGGCAGAAGGTAACACAGCGCAAATAATATTTAAAAAAAAAATTATCAGAATTAGTATAAGTCCAAACACAAAGTCCCAAATTAAAGTCCAGTGTCCCAAAAAGTTGTGACAAAAAATAAAAACATAACACAAACGTCATAAATTTTCCAGCGTGCTCACATCAATGATAAATCATTTGCTGCACACTCACCGACATACCGTGGATTCTCAAGCTGATATGGCTTTGAGAAACAAAAGCAGGCTTAGAGGTGGAGTGTAGTTTTCTCAGATGTTATTTCTCCCTTTAACAATTTCTTACTGAATCTCCTTCCAGGATTCCACATAGGGTGATATAAAATGTAAAAGAAAATGCCAATAGTATAATACTGTATGAGGGTCAAAGAAATTTTTCTTAAAATACCTTCCTTACACTCACATTAGGTGGCTTTAAAACCAACTTCCATGAATTCACATGCCTCCCAAACAATCGATAATGATCCCTCCTTAACTTCCTCCAAGCTCTCGCTCATGGATGGATGGATGAGGGTGATTCGATGAATTTATGACCAGCTTGTATGGACAAAAAAGCCTCCCAAGCTGCCGCTAATGATTCCTCCTTGATTTCCCCTGAACTCTTGCTCATGGATGGATGGATGAAAAATGCAAAAGAAAGGATAACAAATAGCGTAACACTGCATAAAAAACTTTTAATAATAAAGTGATGCTTCAAATGCACTCACATTTTAAAACAGAGTAACAAGCCTTTTTTAATTGATCAGGACTCCTTTAAACAGGTTCCAACAGCCCTCCTGACATATCCAGCTAAGCTGATACAATTGACCAGCATTGGCAGTGAAGAACTGGCAGTAGTGGAGAAATCAGATCGTTTTTTCCACACTAAAGATGGCCGTGGAATGCCGCATCAGCGTGCATTCCACTCACCGGATATGACGTCACACGTTCATGCTCGGAACCAGAAGTTACGTCAACACGTTTTGCCCTCCCACAAAGTGTCGTCACGGACAGCTGGAAATGTCAGTAGGGCTGTTGGAGCCTGTTTAAAGGAGTCCTGATCTATTAAAAAAGGCTTGTTACTCAGGTTTAAAATGTGAGTGCATTTGAAACATCACTTTATTATTAAAAGTTTTTTATGCAGTGTTACGCTAAATAGACGAGGATCCCCCTGAGGAATCCCACCCGGCTTGGTCTAAGCCACTTA